AAGCTAATGTATTAAAGGAGATGGACCAAAAACAGGTATATGAAGTTCAGCCACTATTCAGCCATGATTTCATTGAATAGTGGAACAGACTTAAGGGGCTGAATGGCCTATTCCTGTTCTTGCATTGCTGAACAGTTGCAGAATACTCTGAGTGAGGATTGTGATCTGCTGCCTGTTGTGGTCCACATGGATACCAATGACATAGGTAGAAAGAAGGATGTACCCCAACAGTCAGAAGTTAGGGAAATAGATAGGAAATTAGCAAGAGGAATCTCACATGTAGTAATCTCTGAATTATTCCTAACACCACATGCATAAAATTATTCAAAAGAGTAGGAAAGAAGAGGTTAATGTGTGGCAGAAGTGATGGTGCAGGAGAGAGAGCTTTAGCTTCTCTGGACATTGGAATCAGTGGTAGTGGAACTTGTCTGGTTTTATAGCCTAAATGAGTTACATCTAAACCAAGCTGAGACCAATTTTCTTATGGGCGATTCACTAGTGCCTTTGGGAGGGTTTAAACGAACGCAGGTGTAGGCACCAGGAAGTTAGATTAAAAAGAAATATCGATGTGCAAAGAATATTGGGAGATGCAGATGCTACAGAGTTAACGAAGGGTCTGAGGGAGATCCGGTTCTGAGGAAGGGTCACTGGACCCAAAACGTTAACTCTGTTTTTTCCTTTACAGATGCTGCCAGATCTGCTGAGCTATTCCAGCAACTTTGTTGTTTTGCCCCACTACCTCCTACCTGCCTCCACCTACCACCACCCCATCTATCTTTCCCTAGCCCCATCCCTCCACCCTCTATTTATTTCCCAGCTCCCTTCCCCTTCCCCTTCCCCTTCCCCTTCCCCTTCCCCTTCCCCATTTCCGAAGAAGGGACCCAACCCAAAATGTTAACTTTCCTGCTCCTCTGATGCTTTCTGACCTGCTGTGTTCCTCCAGTTTAAAATACTGATTTGGTCTTAATTGCAGTATTGCATTTGGTTCTGGGTACCACACTTTAGGGTGGATGTGAAGGCAGTAGAAACAGTACAGAAAAGATTTAGAAGAATGTCTGCAGGGACGCAGAACTTCAATCACGTAAAAGCATTGGAAATGGTCTCCTTGGATAAGAGAAGGTTGAGAGGAGATCTGATAGAGGTTTTCAACATCATGAAAGATTTAGACAGAATAGATAAGGAGGAACTGTTCCCATTGGTGGAAAGTTTGAGAACCAGAGGGCACATATTTAAGGTAATTGTCAAAATGAGAAACAACTTCTCCAGAGATAGTAGGAACTGCAGATGCTGGAGAATCTGAGATAACAAGGTGT